GATGTAACCAACCTGGCCCAGAAGACTAAGCTCTGGGAGAAAGACTAGATATCCAAAATTACAGAGACAGATGTCCAAAAATCCTTATCTAGGGAAGTAGGAGAATAGGCACAAATCAAGGATTGCAGTTTAGAGGCTAGAGTATCTTTAACCAGGATAACCCAATCCAAGAAAATTAGTGAGACAAGCAGAAACTGCTAAAGGGCAGAGTTTGTGTAATAGTATAGCAACTCCATTTTTTCTTAGGAATGCCAGACCACCATAAATCCAAAATGAGCAGATCTAGCAATGTATCTCTTGAATAAATGCTACATCAGCCAACTTTTCTATTGGGTTCCTTAACATTAAAGGACCACTATAGTGCCAGGAAAACCCTGAGAGTACCCCCACCATCAGGGTCCCCCTCCCGCCGGGCTGGATGGAGGGGAAGGGTTAAACTCTCCTCCTCCTCCTCTCCTTCGGCTGAATGCGCGGCAGGAGCTGCGCGCGCATTCAGCTAGTCCATAGGAAAGCATTCTCAATGCTTTCCTATGGACGTTGGCGTCTTCTCACTGTGATTTTCACAGTGAGAAGCACGCAAGCGTCACTAGCGGCTGTCAAGAGACAGCCACTGGAGGCTGGATTAACCCTAAAGTAAACATAGTTTCTCTGAAACTGCTATGTTTATAAAAAAAAGGGTTAACCCTAGCTGGACCTGGCACCCACACCACTTCATTATGCTGAAGTGGTCCTTTAAGGGGAAATATGGAAAGTATGGCACATAACTGTAGGTCAGTAATAATTCAAATGTTGAAGATCTGCAGACGATGGGTCCTCTATAAGGCCACTGACCCACTACCTACCAGGGAAGATTAGGGATAGAAAGGAACCATAAAAAAAATAAATAAAAAAAGGAACAGGAAGGAAAGCAAAGAACAGGAGAGAGACAAAATGCAGTAAAGAGCATAAATAAAACATGCTATCTGTAACAAACACATCTGGCATGCAAGCCAAAATAAAAACAAAAGATATGAATATAAAAACTACAACATAAATCCTGAGCAGTAAATATTCATAATAAAAAAAAAAAAAGGAAATCTAAAATAGCCCCAACCAATAACAAAAATAGAAAAACCATACCCATGTTCTGCACTACTAAATAAATATTAAGCATAGGCGTGCGCACGGGGTGTGCCGGGTGTGCCTGGGCACACCCTAATCCCCGTGGCACGCCTATGGTTTGAGTCCTGCAGGAACAGCGTTCCTGCACTTTTTTTGAGCAGGAACGCTGTTCCTGCAGGCACTCAGTGCCCCCTGTTTCACCTCTTGCCCCTGTCATGGGGAGGGCAAGAGGTGATGGATTCCCACGCCCCACTCAGCGCGCGGCGTGGGAGCTCTCTGCTGTCGGCTCTCTGCTCCCTTTCGCCGCACGCTGATGCCGGGAGCCGGAATATGACGTCATATTCCGGCTCCCAGCTGCAGCAGACAGCCCGCGCGGCAAGAGGGAGCAGAGAGCAGAGAGCTCCCTCGCCGCGGCTCAGCTGGAGAAAGGCGCCTGCCCCCACTGGACCCCAGGGAAAAGTCCACCAGCACTCCAGGTAGGAGGCTGGGTGGACATTGTTTTTTAAAATTAAAATATAATAATTTGTGTGTGTCTGTCAGTGTGTGTGTGTCTATAAGTATGTGTGTGTGTCTATAAGTATGTGTGTGTCTGTGAGTGTGTGTGTGTGTCTGTGAGTGTGTGTGTGTGTGTGTGTTTCTGTGAGTGTGTGTCAGTGTGTGTGTGTCAGTGTGTGTGTGAGTGTGTGTCTGTGAGTATGTATGTGTGTGTGTGTGTCTGTACGTATATATATATATATATATATATATATATATATATATATATATATATATAATATATACACACACACACACACGCAGAGCCGGCGCTATCTGAGTGCCGGCTCTGCTCTAAGCCTTCATGGGCCGGCGGGGAGACCAAAGATCTACCTCACCGGCCCACAGCAGCATGGAGGGAGGCAGTAGAGGACCCAGGCTGCTCTAGACAGAAGCTCCGCCAGGTTCCTCTCGCCATATCTGAGCGTTGCTGCGGCAACGCTCAGATCTCGCAAGAGTTAACTCTAGCCCCGCAGGCTAGAGTTCACTCTCCACTGGACCACCAGGGATGGCACATGGCAGCAAGGATTTACTAATCTTCCAAATCCCTCCAAACATACAGCACACACACATACAGCACCTACACACATACAGCTCACACACACACAGTACACTAACCGCACCCTCACAAACACACACAGCACCTTTAAAAAAAACACAACACCCTCACACACAGCACACTAACAGCACCCTCACAGGACAAACATACACACACAAACACCCTCACACACAAACAGCACAGTCACAAACACGCACCCTCACACACACACATCACACACAGCAGTGAGAGAGAGAGAGAGAGAGAGAGAGAGAGAGACACACACACACACACGCGCGTGGCGTGTGTTTGTGCTTTAGGGTGCACACCCTAATGCAATAGGCTGCGCACGCCTATGATATTAAGCAAGTCTATAGTAGCTAGCCTACCCCAGGTAACTAGAAAGGCTAAAATCAGATGGACTACCCCATCACAGGTCGAAAAATATTAATTAATGAGTACTAGGTAGAGACGAGAATTTAGGACCAGCTTTTAAACACACTACAAAATAGAAATTTATTTTGTAGTTAGAATGACAAGTATGGCCATATTTATTGGACTGCTTTACTACAAGCTAAGTTATTTAAAATAAATAAAAGTTGCTCTAGTCTCCAAAAACTGCACAAATATTTGGGCCATAAAATTTACCAAGTATTGGTGTAATCACCCTTTGTATTACCCAAGTATTGGAGTAATGTACTCAAATACATTCCTTGTTTTGCATACAATCATTTAATTTTTTGTGTGTTGCGTTTTATATTTTCTTCTTCCTCTATACTACGATTTTGAGCTTATGTCATCTGTGTGTTTATTATGGTCTCAAGTATATCCCTAAAAGAGAGGGATTTTGTGGTCTTTTTCATTTCTTATTTTTCTTGTTTTCCTATTTGCTTTAATTTTTTTTAAATAATTCCACCCCCTCCCTTTTTTTAACCCCTTTTCTTCATTTTTTTGTTGTCCCCATTTGGTTCCATTTTCCTCCATTTATAGTGAAAGCTAAATGTATACAACATCTTGTAATTTACGATCTGTAAATACTTTGAAGACTGACTGTTCTTATTTTGATAACCATCTCTTACAAGAGAACATTGTTGCCAGGACTCTTTGCCATATAGTAATATGGCTTCCGCCGGATCAGAAACAGACGTAATAAAAAGTAACAAGATGTCACTTCCAGCGGACGCAACCGGCACTGTCAAATTACACCAGATTGGATTACATCACTTCAGACCCGAGTGGTTGGTCAGAAATGCAGAACAATTATTCAATAAGGACCTTCCCTATGGATTTAAAAATGAACACTGGAACTCTACACTACTTGAGAAAGCTGACATGGAAAAACACGTCTTGGGAGCCCCCACAAGGTTATTTTTATATTATTGTTATGCGCTTTATTTTATACATATATTGTTGTGTTAAATTCCAATAAATATTACCATTAACTTATCTTCTCTGTGAGATCAAGATCCAGTTGATCCAGCATTTAAAGAAGGGTTTGTATCCCCTATTTGACACTCAAGCAGTTATACTTCAAACAACGTTCATCTAGAGCAGTGATGGCGAACCTTTTTGAGCCTGAGTGCCCAAACCGCAATACATGCCAACATTTTTTCTCCTTAAAGTGCCAACACGGCAATTAAACCCAAATACTGAGGTTTAAGTTTAGAAAAAAACAACTCGTACTGTTGTCCGAACTAATAACTTTTGTTTTAAAAAAACACAGAGAGTTCAATGATACAAATTTTAAATAATGATATAAATAGATAAAATTAAGCTTATATTTATTAGTATCTCCAACAAATGCAATACATACACACAGACTGCTGAATACATACACACAGTCTGCTGAATACACACACACAAGACTGCTGAATACAGAGGCTGCTGAGTACACACACACACACACACACACACACACACAGACTGCTGAGTACACACACACACAGACTGCTGAGTAGACACACACACAGACTGCTGAGAGTACACACACACACAGAGACTGCTGAGTACACACACACACAGACT